TTTATTTCTTGGAGGTCCTTCTTTTCGGTCCTGGTGCTGTCTATTGTCATCTCCTCGTTGGGTGGGGAACGATCGGAACTTTGTGCTATCTCCGTGAGGTCTGGCTGCTACCAGTACCGCCTGCAGCTCTAGTGCTTGTCGGAGGGCCTCGTTTACCGTCTTTTCCCCTCCCAGCAGCAGCTGGAAGTTTATATCGGCATCTCGTATTCCGTATGCGAAGGCTTTTCCTGCCTCCCTTCCTATGTGGTCAGCAGGTAGATTTGGGTAGGCACGACGGGAAAAGAGTTCAGTGGCCGTGGCAAAGTCTTGCAGGGATTCTCCAGGTCTCTGCGTCCTCGTTCTTAGTTGGCAGTGGTAAGCAGCTGCAAAGTGTTGGTCCCCGAAACGGTCCTCTAGAGCCTGAAGAGTTTCCTCGTAAGTTGTATTTACCGGAATGCCGGGTAGTATTTCTGCCGCCCGACCCTTCAGGGCAGTAATTAGATATGTCGATTTTTCACTGTCCGACCATCGGGTGTGTTCTGCCATGGTCTCGAATTGTCGCCAGAACACACTCCATGTTGAATTTCCATTGAATGTCTGTGGCTGAGCTGTACTCACGATGATCGTGACTAGTGACTACCTGCTACTTAGCAGGCTTGTTGTGAGACCGGTTCTGTATCCAAGGGCTTCGGCCATGTAAGGATGTGATGGAGCATGCAATAAATACAATACAATACAAATACAATATGTAATAAATGCATATCTGGAATGCTGAGGATAATCAGTAATTTTTTCCCTGTAGCCCCAGTGAATGTGCAAAACTGTACATATACAAATACTGATACTGTTTAAATTGTTCTTTGGTGTTTACAGACGTTTCTGATTTTTATTTCAGTTCCAAAATCTGAGCAACCTGAGTGAAGGTGACATTGCTCACTTTGAAGCATCTTTAACGCCTGTTGGTGACCAAACCATGGTAGTAGAATGGTTCTACAAAGGAGAGGTGCTCAAAGCCAGTTAGTATTTCTGTAAATGTTGGAAAATGTGGAATGTGTTCATATGAGTCACATTGTGTCTTCTTAAGGTTGCTGTTTTCTGGGATGTGATACCATGTACCTTACTAGAGAGTATCTCGGGTCTCAAATGTGTGTCTTTTTCATCATTACATTATTTTATAAAATTTGAACACAGTATTCTGTTTGTAAAGGGAGGCTTTTTTTCAGTTTCTTGAGATTGAAATATTATCTAGCCACAGTGTTTATCTGAAGTAAATACATTTGTACCTCTGATGAAGCGTGACATGTACTTACATGTATCTGTATGTGGTGTGCATCTGCTGTGGTAGTTGATCATTTCTTTACAGTGCATAAAGTTACACTGTAAAAAAAACTGAAAGTTAAAAAGGACCTTATGAAAAACACAAGCAATAGAAGATATTATTATATTTCAGCATCCCATTGTATTGGGGCATCATCCTATTTTTTACTAACGTATCTGTGAATAATACAACTTTAAAAAGGCATTAGGAATGTGTTGTTCACTAAAAATGCATTTCAATACTGTGACAGTTCAAATCAATAAAATGCACGTAGGCCTTTACATAGTACATAAATTTACACATTAAAAGTGAATGTTCACACTCCTCAAATTGTCTTGGCTTTACACAATTTATATTCTCAACATGTTTTGGCCTCATTGGGCCATCATCAGGTGAACTCTATCCTTGAGTGAGACCACTGCACTGTATTTGTTTCTCGTGCACGTCGTTATTTACTTTATGCTAGGTGTTAAATTTAATTTTTATCCAGCTGTTTTGCGGCTGTTATCAGTTTGTCGTCGTGTTTCCCTGTGTCAGTGTCCCCATTGCGATCTACCGGTATAGAAGAGAGCTGTAGCACTGTATGTACAACATGACTGGTACATTATCCTTCAGGGTGTTGTATGCAGATAAAAATACTTGAAGATGATAAATTCCATATTTTTATCATTAATTTTTATGCTCCAGATGTTGAGCTGAAATTAATTATTTTCATATATAAATGCAATTTAACCTACATAAATATTAAAACTCCTCCTAAGTCCCAATGGATGTGTGCTTCAAGAAGTTCCAAATTGATGTAAATTCTATGAAATGGTTGGAATTGTTTTCTGTCCATATTAACCCATGAGGTGAATATTTCTGGGATATGGGACAAATCACAAATTGCACTGGAAAAAAAAAGAGTATTTTTTCAAGAAATTAAAGTTTGTGACTGCTTGATGTAAAACTCTGTGTATATGGCAAGGTAAGGTTTCCATCAACACAACAAACATGTTTTTTTTTTTTTTCTACCACTACATGTTTCTGTTAACATGGGACCATCATCAGGCAGTATTGTGATCATATGGCTGACATTATTGAACTCCTCAATATGGATCCATATTTTAGGGTCAGTATTGTAAGTTAAGAGGATTCTAGACATCTGAATGTTTGGGAATCTTATTCCGTTTGATTAATTTCCCTGACCACACTAATAATATTTTGATTCTCACTTCATGCATACCATGTGGAAATTCAGTCACCACCTCCATTTGGAACACTGGGACACCATAAGTGTTCATAGATTTGGAAAGTAAAATCTCTTTACTCTGAAATGTATGGGAGAAAGGTGGATGAAAACATTGCATTCTTGACGAACAGAATATTTAGTTTGGTGGTTTCAATTAAGGACAGGTGGTGAATAGGTAAAAGGATATGAACTAAACAGAAATAACGCTTGTTTTCTTTTAGGTCATCGTACCAGAACTGTCCATGCTTTTGGTATGGTGGTGTTAGAGATTCTAGGTACCAAGATTGAAGATTCTGGCACATACACCTGCCGAGCCACAAACAAGTGGGGCAGGTCTGAGATTAGCGTTGAACTGGAGTGTGTTGAAAAGCTAAAGGGACAGAAACCACAATTTACATCACACATCCAGGTAAGGAATTAGTTGAAAAAAAAAATTAAGAATTTTTATTGCAAAAATAAAACAACATAGTTGCTTGTGTCAGTGTAAGAAGTGCATAATTTTCTCATTGTTTTGCTTATAGAGTTTGGAAGGCTTGAAAGATGGAGACTCTGTTCACTTCGAGTGTACACTGATCCCAGTTGGAGATCCAAACCTCAAAGTGGAGTGGTTCCACAATGGCCAACCCATAAGACACTCATCACGCATGAAATCTGTGTCAGACTTTGGCTTTGTAGTGATGGATATTTCATATATTCAGAGTCATGACTCCGGAGAGTATGTTTGCAGAGCTAGTAACAGGTAGTGTATCTGATTGGTAGTATTTCTCTTCCCAAAGTAAGAAATTTTCTGCAAGTGAGGAATGTAAGTGATCATATTTACCATACTTGTTTTCTCACCCAGTCTACTTATATATGTTGTATTTGATTTATATCTGATACGCATTTGTAGAAATAGCAGCATATACTGAAGCAATGTAAAGGAGACATCACTGAATCCTTGCCTGCACTAATTACACAAAGCTCCAATATATTATATAGGAATTATCATCAGCTCAGTTTATTTTCCTCTTAGTTGACATCATTTATGGCTGTGGCCCTTGCACAGTGCAGGAATGGCATGGCAGGTCAACCCCCTGCGCCACTTTATGGCCAGACATTGGTCCACAGACTGATCCTTGATAGCACTGATTGCCTCTACTTCATCCTCTTCATTATGGACTTCCTGATTCACTGCTATGGCCTCCACCTTTTCCTGATTGGTCTCCAGATCCGTGTTGTCCCTTAGGTCCAACCTTTCTTTGAAGACATTCACTGTGGCTTCCATTTCCTCCAGGCTGGCCTTCGTCTTCTCTGGGTTGCCTTCACCTTTTTTAGACCTGCCTCCATTGCTTCTTAGTAGGCTATTGTCTTTTCTTGCCAGGCCATCAGTTCTAGCCAGGCATCCATCTTGGCTTCCATCCTTTCTTGGTTAGTTTTCATTTCAGCTTTTTTTTCGGCCATCATTTGTTCTTGACTGGCCAAGAAGCATTTCAGTATTTATTCGAACTTGCCTCATTTTGATTTAATCAATCAAATCCAATCCAATTCATTTGGTCAGTCCAATCCAACTTCTGACACAAGGTGTCATATTTTTTATGCAGTGTGACTGGACAGGTTTAGGATTGGCCTTTTTGATATAGTGCATGACTACACTTTACAGTACACTGTTATGCCCACACACTAGTGTCCACAGTCACGTCTTCATTGCCGTTGCTTGCTAGCAGCTTCCAACAATGGATATTTCCATTTCTCTGGGTTTCTGAACTGTCCCTGGCCTCAGCTATCAGCAGCAGTTCTTCAGGCCTAGGTAATGTAATTGCTTTTTCGTCCATGATATGTATGCAGTGCCGAAACATGTTGTGAAATAACAAGTGAAATTGAGTGCACTAAAAGATGGACAATGCATACATATCATGGACGAAAATCAGTGCAACAGGACACTAAAATACAACATAATTGCTTTTTGCTTTATGAGGAGTGAGTTCACATGTGTGTTATAATACAGTTTCTTACTTTGATACTGATCGCTGAAATCCAGACATTGTCTGTATTTTCCAAACCTATATTATCATTGAAGAGTACTATACTCTGTGATATTATGCCATACAGTCTGTAGAAGTTCACTGCCTTCATCTTCATTCAAGGAGTAAGCCAAGCAAGCAAGCCAGCACTAAGCTTTACTTACACTTCAACCTTGAACATGAAGATGGTATATTCCTTTTAAATTTCAGTAACTTCAGCCAGACTGCATGGCATAACATCCCAGAAGATGGCACTCTTCATAGTCATAGTCAGTGTTATGAGAACCTCAAATCTACATCATAACTTTCCTCTTATTATTCTTGGGGAGGCAGGGTATTTGTTATAGTGTTATAATAATAGGGTTTATTGAGATTCAGGATAGTATATAGCACAATACATGATGTCTTATTTGATATTTGTGTGTTCACAAATGTTGGTGATTTTCTTTATTCATTTTAACTCTAATTTTGTGTTGTATTAACTTACTAGAATTTTCTGTTCTCTCATACTTTCCAGATATGGTGAGGACTTCACCCGAGCAACTATCAAGTGTGTTGGTAAGGGAGGAGTATATCTAGACAGTCTTCAGCCTGATTCCCTTGCTAGGATTCGAGAGCTGGAAGTTGGACAGGGAGGACAACCTCAGGCTCCCACCACACCAGTTTTGGAACCACCGAAGTTCATCACCCAGATCTCTAATGTAACTCAGCTGGTGGAAGGACAGAGTGCACACTTTGAAGCCAGACTTACACCTGTCAATGACCCTAACTTAACGGTTGGTACTTTGTATTGCGATTTAGATTTGTTATGCTTGCAGCAGTACTTTTTACTTTGCTGAAGTTGGTAATGTGAAATATCGTTCTTGCGATCTTCAGGAGATTTGTATGATTAAACTCACAGTGATTCTACTTTACAAAAAAAATATCAAAAAAGAGCAGTTAAAATATGTGCAGTACTTTTTTTGCAGCTGGCTTATGGAAACTGTGAATGAATGCTAAAATGATACCCAGTATAAGGATATAAGTATTGAAAATTTGAGGATTATAAAATTATAACCACATTTCATTATCATATTGCCACTTGGTATATTAATTATTTTTTATTTACTTTCACCCTTTAAATTCTAGGTTGAATGGTTCTACAATGGCAAGAAACTTCCTCATGGCCATCGCTACCGAACATTCCATGACTTTGGCATTGTGATTTTGGACATTCTGTATTGCTATGAGGAGAACTCTGGTGAATATGAATGTCGTGCTGTCAACAAAGTTGGTCAAGACTCAACGAAAGCAACACTAAAGTGTGTCTCAAAAGCAAATCTCATCTTGGAGTCCCAGTTACCAAGGGTAAGATTCATCTTTATTTTCAGATTGGAGTTGGAGACAAGGGAAATCGTATGAAAACTCCCAACTAGAGAAAATTAATTGTTTAAAATTATCAGGTAGAATAGTATTATTATATATTAGTGTCATATTGAGTATAGAATATTTTATTCAGTTTCAGTCTCACAATATAATGTATAATTCTAAGATAATTATGTGGTTTCTACATGACAACATGTTTCATCCACTATTTCTGGCCATCATCAGGCAGTGCTCGTACAGTCCCTCTCAGCTTTCCCTGCTGTCACCCCTCCAAATGCAACAACAAGAAAATGACAACCATCAGCGATTCCACCCCAGACACACAGTTCACAGAAAATGAAACCCAGTTATTAAACAAGAGACTAAAATATAATCTACACTTCAAACCAAGAATTTGGTAAAGACCTTAGCATTAGAAGCTGAAACTGCTATGAGCTGTGCCACTGAATCAGAACAAAACTCTCTAAGACATGTGGTTTTGAAAACAATAAAACACCTCAACAATTGACAAGTATAAATGAAATCTGTCCTGAACATTCAGGTGCTGCTGTGATGCATGTACATATGTACATTAACACAGAGACAGACTGCATTCCAGAAACCATCTTTTCATATTCAGGGGGTTCAAAATGTATAAATCTGTTAAAATCTCGAGACCAGTTTTGTTTGTGAACACGAGACTATCTGATGTACTATATATATATGTATGAGAAAGTAAAAGGGATATTCATGTATTAAACGCATGAATATTAATATTCATTAATTGAATTTTTGTGATTTGGATTAACGTTCTGTGTCTTCATCATTGTCTTCACTAATGTGTGAATGCTGATGCAACTTTTGGAGTCTACCCTTATCAAGTAACATAAGTAACATGAAGTAAATTAAAGTAAAATGTTGTGTAGCAGAACACAATAAAAGCACACTGCTCATGAATGTATGAATATCTATAAACACGGACTTGCAATATCTTTGTGTTTTATTATTAATGCAGGGCATGGAAGGAGGTCTTGAAAAGATTCAGAACCTGGAAGATTCGCTAATCCGTACTCGGGATGAGAGGTCCACAGAGAGCCGAGTCCAAGCTCCTGTTTTCACTGTGCCATTGTCTAATATTGACAGCTTACGGGAAGGAGAGAACGCTCACTTTGAAGCCAGACTTACACCAACAGATGATCCAAAACTAAAGGTCAGTTACACGGAGGGGCTTATTCTGCACAGTAGAAAAATGTCAGTGGTTTGAAATGTAGTGCCTTTCACAGTGTAGTGATGTAGAAATATTTATGCCATCAATATTAGATAAATGTTGAGGAAAAACTGTGATGTAAATGTGAGAACCTCTAATGTGTTTATAGCCAAGTGTCAGTCATGTAAAAGTTTGTGGAAATGTGTGTATGTTAAATGTTTTTACATTCATACAATTCACACTGTGATCCAGCCTTTAAAAGTAGATATATATTTATTTCTGCATACATATACAGCATATTTGCTGAACATTTATTGGAGTGGAAAGTGTTTTGAACACTACTTAAAGAGAAAGGTGAAACACACACCTAATGCTCAGTACATAATATCCATAAGTAAATTGCAGAGTTCCTTATTGTGTGAAACCATAAATTATGTACTGGCTTCATCCCTCTTGGGTTCTGTAATTTTCCTGAAATATTATCTTCAGATGCTGTAATTTATGTTCTTCCTTTATTTTTTCATCATCGTTGCCACCATTGTCATCAGTAGTCAATAATAGCAATAACAACAATAACATAAACATTATCACCACCACCACCACCATCCTAACCATAATAATTGCTGCAGCCACCACCACCGCCGCCACCACCAGCACCACTACTACCGATGCCACCACTGCCGCCACCGCCGCTGCCACCACCTCCACTGATAATGCCGGTGCCACCATCACAACCACAACCACCACGATTGGCATAAAATTAGCCACTGATTTACTTCTGAGTGGTCATGCTTTTATGTTTTAGACTAAGTGTGTCTGTCTTTTTAATAATTCAATTTTAGTGTGTGTCAGATTAATTTTTGTTCTTTTTCATCTTACTGGCATGATTAATTAGATCAGACAATTTTTTGTCATCTCCTAAAGTTTGTACTTATATGTCTGACATGTGTTTTGTTTCGTTTTTCTTCACAAGTGCATATGTGATATTATGTGGTTTAGGTGGAGTGGTTCTGGAATGGAAGACCACTGAAAACGGGCTCCCGTTTCCGCACCTTCTGTGACTTTGGCTTTGTCATCCTTGAGATCTCTCCAGTGTACCCTGAGGATTCAGGGGAATATTCATGCCGAGCCTTCAACGAGTATGGACAGGCTGTCACAACAGCAAGCATGAAAGTTCAAGGTAACTTTAATATCATACTGTTGGAAAGTTGGGCAGTACATTTGGGGTTTCCAAACACCCATGATGGGAGGAACCTGTAATTGTGTGGTGTCTTGTGGCAAGTCTTTCAAATTTGTCAGCATAGTATGTGAAGAAGCTTTAAGAACACTATTTTAACCTTTAAGGGAAAGGCCGTTTCAGTTCCGGTAATGGCCACGGGCCGGAGTTAATTTAAATGCCTGCCATTGTAGAGTAATAAAAATTGTAATCATGTTACTGAAAATGCTGTGATTTCTGCAATTTTTGTGTTAAACGAACGAAATAAACGCTGCTTTTATCTATAAAGAATATAGAATTAGATATTGTAATTTACAGATTTTAGAATCTGTAAAAATTGTTACATTGATTCCAAAAATATTTTTCCCCAATTTTGAGCGTTTGTCCACAAAAATGCATAAAGCTTCTGCACAAAACGTTTCTGCCGTATAAATGCATGCTGCTGACACATGGTCTGACTATGTCTTATCTGGAGGAGAGAGGAAGTTTGTTTTCATTGCACATTCTCCAGTCACTTCAGCTTCTTGTATACAGGAGTGTGAGCGAGTTCTTATCCTTCTTTGTCCTTATGAAACTGTGCCTGTTTATACACGTATGTCAGACTATCCACACAGAGTTACTGTTCTTGGAATGCCCCTTGCATCCTCGTCCATTCATAACCTACTGTACCGCATTCTGAATGGTGTGATTTATGAGCAGCCTCTCAATTTTGGCTTCTTCCATGCGAAATGGGGCCATGGTGCATAGTTGAAATTGTGATGTTTTATAAGCGTTACCAATAGAGGAGACCACTCGCCATCACTGGCCTACTTCCTGCTAATACAAGACAGATGTTGCGTGTGTGCGCTTCGCGTGGAAAACAGAGTTACATACGGACAAAGTGCATGAATTGCGACGTCGGACTCTGCATTCAGTTACATGCAACATTCAGTTAGATGATGCGGGAGGGAAGACAGTCTACTTATAAAGCTGGTGTCCAAAAATAATGTAAGTGGAACAAGAATTTCTATCTTAAATTAGATTTTAAAACACTGTGCGCACGCGTGGACTGTGAGTCACCATACGGTGTCCTTCAGCCACTCGGCTTTAATTTAAAGGCCCCCATACGGTGTCTTTCAGCTCATAAAGGTTAAAAAGATATTTTTAAAGTCTTGAAAAAATGTCCTTCAGCATTTCACTATGTCAGGCTTATAATATAAATTGGAGGAAAGAAGTGTAAAATAATGACGATGTTTTGTAACTTCACATATATTAGTTACTGTGAACACTCTTCTAGATTAATATAAACATTCTTGAGACTGTGGTATGAATCCTGTGAAGTAGGAGTGACCCCCACAGTGGCAGCATCTGTAAACGATGGATAAATTAGATTTGCATAGTAAGGTAATAAAGTAAAGTTGTCCCTCTGCTTACTTAATTAAACATGATGCCACGAAGATGTATGGGAAAGTGGAGGCTTATCTCCACCATTCTTGACCTTGGCACCTGATGGAGGTAAGTGGTCAGCTTCACACCCTTGTCACTTTGATCCCAGGGAAAGAGGTCTTGGTACCCACTGGATAGGAGGCTGAGTGGGCCCCAGAGCCAGGTTGGATGCTGTGAAATTTACATATTGGTAAGATTTGCATTTTTCCCTCTAAAATATGTTGGTGAGTGTATGCAGTGCATTGCTTGTATCTTAGGAGAAAGATCAGTAATTCATGGACACTTCTGTGCATGGAAGTTATTGCATTCATGGTGGAAATAAGTCTCCTGCTTCTGTTGATCTAGCAATAGCCAGCAAGATTACCAGATGTTGATGTTTGCACTTTGTCAGATTCAAAAGCTTGTAATGTGTTTACATCTTCAGTATTCTATGGAAAGCACAACATACTGGCATTATGACAAAAAAAAATATGAGGTAAGGAGGAACAAAGGATAAAAAACTTTAGAAGGGGCTTAATTTTTGTCATCTTTGGGAAGTGAACAGTTTTCTACACAAGGGAGAATTTTTTGCTGTCTCAGTAGGTATGTTGCAAAATGAGCATTGACAATTTCAACATAACCTGCAAGATAGATTGCATGTTATTGAAGAATACATGTTGCAGTGCATATTGCAAAATGGCTTACAGGCAGCAAGCAACTTTATTGTGAATGTGTTGTGAATGTGTTAAGGGTGTGTGACAATAATATATATATATGAAATTTCTACAGTCAGATATACTTTGTTGCAGGTAAGAGGAGCATAATATTGGAGTCACAACTGCCAAAAGGTATGGAAAGGACAATTGAGAAGATTGCTGAGCTGGAGGGTCTGGGAGCTATACCAGGCCAAACCTCTCCTGAGGAAGATTCTGGAAAACCACCTGAATTCATTACAACACCTGTGGATCTCACGCTGACCGAGAACTCACTGGCACATTTTGAGTGTCAGCTGACTCCAGTGAATGATTCCAGCATGCGTGTGGAGTGGTACCACAATGGAAAGCCTCTGTCTGCAGGTTCCCGCATCAAGACCATCAATGATTTTGGATTTGTTATTCTAGAAGTTGCTGGCGTGTATCAACGAGATTCTGGTCTTTACACATGCAAGGTATTCCTTACTGAAAATAAGTAACAATTAGGCCCTTCTATACACAGATCTAGGTAACTGCAAGGTCTTTCTTGAAAATTTGATACTCAACTGATAAAGCTGGTTTATTGAGTCAAAGGGCTTGTCAGTGTTTATGAAAGCTCCCCATTAGACAGTGCCATGAGTTAGTTGAATCCAGTTCACACCCTATTTCTCTAAATCTAATTTAATATCCCCATGTACATCTAGGTATATCTAGGTCATCCAAATGATCTTCACACAGATCCAACTAGGATTCATTTAATTGGAGCAGCCCATTTAGTAACATGGGCTCAGGATTTAGACCCTTCAAATGACTTTGAAGCTTGTCTCAGTGTAGTTTAACAGATTTTTTTGGTGTTTTGAATTTTTTATGATATTTTGATAGTACATTTCTTTCAAACTTGAGTGGTTAATTTCACTTGCTAACTTGTACATCATATGATGAACACTTGAAATTATAATTTCGGCTACATGTTTATGCTGCTTTGTAATTTGTTTTAAGGACCATGTGTTTATGGATGTCTTCAGTATTGCAGTATTATGCTATGCAGTTCTGTGTTAACTATATGTCCTTGTCACTCTGTATCATCGATTATGTATTCAGTACAAGTAGTGTGTTGTGCTTATAATTTTACATTCTGTTCCTAAAATTAAGTTGCCTTGTTTAATATTGTAACATGTAGAACCGTTTGCTGAGCAACAACCTGAGAATAGCAAATATGCAAGAGATGTTGCTGAGTAATGGCTTGGCAAACAAATGTGTTTTCACTGCAGCGATTGAACCTCATACAGCAATGAGGAACTTTTTTTTCTGTGTGGTCTGTGCTGGAGCTGCATAAGGAGTAGAGTGACGTGAAGTGAGTTCATTTGAGTTGAGAGAATTGAAGAGAATTGGTTGGTGAGAGTGAATTAGTTAGAGCACTGCTGTGATTCAGTTCTTATGAGCCATTACTGTTAGAAACTGGTAGCTGAGACACAGGGACAGTTCGGAAATCCACAGTAAGGGGAACGCCCACTGTTGGGAGCCACTATCAAGCAGTGGCTACTGAAGACTGTGTGAAAGTGATTTATAAAATTTAGTTACTAGTTACATAGGCGATTGAACTTGGTTAATGCTTGCTACCATTCAGTCCAGAACCTTTTGTCTTCCCATCTGTTGTCCAAAAACATAAAAATTAGAATATACAGAACTATAATTTTGCCTGTGGTTCTGTATTGGTGTGAAACTTGGTCTCTGACATTAAGGGAGGAACATAGACTGAGGGTGTTTGAGAACAGGGTGTTGAGGTGAATATTTGGACCAAAGAAGGATGAAGTGACAGGAGGTTGGAGAAAACTGCATAATGAGGAGCTTCATAACTTGTACTCTTCTCCAAGTATAATTAGAATGCTCAAGTCAAGGAGGATGAGGTGGGCAGGTCATGTAGCATGAATGGGGGAGACAAGGAATGCATACAGGATATTGGTGGGAAAGCCAGAAGGAAAGAGACCACAGAGAAGACAATGGTGTAGGTGGGTGGGCAATATTAAAATGTATCTTAGAGAGATAGGATGGGATGGTATGGATTGGATAGATCTGGCTCAGGATAGGGACTTGTGGAGGGCTCTTGTGAACACGGTGATGAACCTTCGGGTTCCATAAAATGCTGGGAAATTCTTGAGTAGCTGCAGAATTGGCAGCTCCTCCAGAAGGGGCTCAGCTCCATGAGTAAGTAAGTAAGTAAGTTACATAAGATTCAAATAAATCCAATTACCGATCTAAATCCCATCCACACTCAGGTACCTGTCAACTTGTGTCAGAAGTGGCTGGATTGGAGACTGCAGTAAGAAGCTATATCATCATGCTAAATGATTGAGCAAATAATGGAAAGCCTGCTGGCTAAGATGGATGTCAATCTAAAGGAAATAAGAGCCTGCCATGAACACCTGAATGTAGGAGTAAGGGTTGGCCAGAACTGCAAAAAGAAAAAATGCTGGCAAATTTATATGTCCATCATGAAAGGATGATAGTCAGGATGGACTTTCAAGTAGAGGAAATGGAGGCCTGTATAGAAAAGACAGAGGCCACAGATTTTGAGGCAAATCCAAAAGAAATAGAATCCAAGACAGAGCATCAGGAAGTCCCTAATGAAGAGGCTGCAGTGGAGAGTATCAGAGCACAGGAGGATCTATTGGAAGACCAGTGACTGGCTGTGGTATGCTGGTACCCATGGAAAAGGTGGACCAGGGGTGATTTTACAAGAGGATCCTCGGAGGGACCAAAAGTCGAGAAGAAATGACAAAAGAGACCAGAATGCAACAATGCCAAGGATCTGAGGCTTGAAAGAGTGATTACTTCTGGGAAGGAAGGAGAACATTCAGCCAGATCTTCAGGCATACCGTAGAGCTGGAGGTCACAAAACAAATAGCCAGAGCTTCCATTAGACTGCAGAAAATGAGTGTCAGGACATTGTTCAGGGATCATCCCCTCCAAAACAAAAGAAAAGACTGCACAGATTAAGGAGCTGGAGATGTAGGAGCATTGACCACTCTTGGATCTTTCGCCTGCACCAAGCTGAAACGAAGGATGATGGTGATACACCTGGACCTACTGGCACTTCATAAGGGAGCCGCTTGGGGCAAAGCGGCCTTAAGAAGGGAGCAGTGGGAGCATTTGGAGAGTAATCAGTGTGAGAACTGAGCCATGGGAAGGAAAGTGAGATTGATCACAGATGTCACAAGAACTGCAACCAGAAAAGAAGAACTGGTGGTATGCCTGTAGGCTAATCAGGATGAATAGCTTTAAGCAGGGAACAGTGTGGCATATAGACCCATTGCTGGACAATGGCAATGAAATGAGCAAATATATAAGAGCTGTTGCTGAGTAACACTTTGGCAAACAAACATGTTCCCACTGCTACGAATGAACTGGAACAATGAGAAATGGTGTTTTCTGTGCTCTCCATGCTGAGATATTACAAGTAGAACAAGTGGGAGCAGCAGTTGAATACATTGGAGTGAAGTGAATTGGTGAGCAGTCAGTCAGTCAGAGGACTCCTGCAGTCTGGTTTTTGTGAGCTGTGCTGTTATAAGCTAATATCTGAGGAATGGGGCTTGTTCAGGAACCCAGAGTGAGGGGAATACCCGCCATTGGAAGTTGCCACCAGGCAATGACTGGTGAAGGCAGCAGGCTGAGAAGACTTAGTGCATGTTGAAGTGAACTGCAGAGTGTGTGAATCAGTGATAGCGCTATAGTTACTCGTGGTTACAAGTTGTGTGTATGCCAAACCACTGCATACAGTCACTCTAACATGTGACAATATGTCCATTTTAGGCTACCAATCGTCATGGAGAGGCTACTGTATCGTGTAAACTACAAGTTCGAGGTCGTCAGGGTATTATTATGGAGCCACAGCTGCCAAGCAACTTCCGTACTGGTACTGAGAGTATTCAGAAACTTGAAGAAGCATTGTACAAACGAGATGAGATCTTGTCAGAAGAGGAGAAACCAGATCCACCAAGATTCATTGTGGAACTCAAGGTTTGTACATAAGAATGTTTCAATACTGGTATTTACACTTTTTTATTACAGTTGTAACATACAGTTTTAGAATTTGAGCATTGAGTTTGCATTTCAGAAAATTAATTTATTTTATGAAAGTTTGCTGTATTGACTTTAACATTACTCTTGTAGGATTTGTTGCTTCCTTTTTGCATTGAAACTTCCAAACAGAAGTAGAAGTAAGAGATTTTGACACTGTGACAGTTGTACCTGAAAGGTACCTAGTCCCTTGGTTCACTATGTGTGTGTGTGTGTGTGTGTTAAGAAAAACTCTTTATGTCACAGGACATTGTGGATGTGCCTGAGGGTGGTGCTATACACTTTGAATGCAGAGTGGAGCCAGTTGGTGATTCTACGATGCGTATTGATTGGTTCCATAATGGGCGTCCATTTGCAACTGGTTCTCGTGTTCACATGCTCAATGATTTTGGTTTCATTGTGCTAGATATGGATTATACTTATGCCCGGGACTCTGGAGAGTATGTTTGCAGGGCAACGAACAAGTGGGGATCAGCTACAACCAAGGCCACTCTCACATGCACAGGTATATAGAAATGGTTATTATGGAGGACTACATTTGTGTTCTGTCTTTGTAGAATGACATCCCCTTAGTCACTATGGATTTTAAACCATGGCCAATACAAAGAAAAATCTCTGTAATATACCACAACTTGATTACCGTAGCACAAAATTTCCTAACTGTAATTTTTTCCAGAAATACAAGATTGTCTTATATTTTTGAATAAGAAAAAATTTGCAGCAACACAAACATGAATCAATAATTTTTGGGACAGTGGAAATCTGATGACTGTGGTGTATCTCCATCCTCACATATACACAGAGCAAGTTTCATGTAAAATATGTTCCTGAAATAGTATTCTTGCTTATGTTACTGTTACTGCCACACTGTCGCACAGTGTGTACAGTCGTGTCATCTTGAAACATGGCTCTGGTTTTGAGATACATTCTGTAATGATACAACTTCTATCCAATATGAATCCAAATTCACAACTTTCTTACTACCACTCAGCCAGAATGCAAATATTCTCAGACACATATGCTATGGATACAGGAATTTTAAGACATTTCACAGTTGCCAGATATTGCTTAGTTTGTGAATATGCAGAATTCCTTTATAGTGATTAAGACCTTTACCCGTGTCATACGATCAGCCCAATTTCTCCAGATTATGAATTTAGTATGACATTTACTACATTTTACTGTTTCATAAGGTCAAGGACCCTTTGAATGCATTATATTCTACTTTTGAAGTATAAAAGATTGGTATAAGTTCACAGTATTAATGTCAGCATTGGTCATTCAATAATGGTATTTTTTCAAGAGTACTGCTTACTATAATTGTTCTTTACTAAGCGAAAGCTCGATAAATCATGTGATGCTATCATGGAGGCCACATGAAAGGTACAGGGATTTCCTCTAAGCATATACACCAATTCCTGCTTTTAGTACCTTTTATCTCTCCCCCCCCTTTTGACATCAGAGAATGGGTTATTTGAATAACAACTTGATTTTGAAATCAGCGTCAAATATATGACAGAAGTACTCATTTTCTCTAAAATGGTTTAGAAAACTGTGATTATCGCCACAATCTGAATCGTGAACATGAAAATTTCTGCAGGAGAATAGTCTTTCTTCTATTCACACTTACAAATGTTACTTGTATTGTTCTTTTCTAACTCACAAATCTTGAAAACTCTGTATGCAGCAGTCTCATATTTATGTGTTTCTTTATCTGTTTTCACAAAGGTCCAAGAAGATACTGCAAAAATTAATTTAATTGCATTTCGTTTGTAGAAAGAACATAGAACATATCCAGATTACAGCATGATGCACAATATATGCTTTACTTCAAGTAATTTTCATTGCTCTCTAAAATGCATGAAAGTTCAAAATACTGAGTGTTAAAATGAAGTGGAAATGTGCTGTAGCAATAGCCCTTTGGCAATTTACTGTGTAACCATACAGAGATCCACAGAAGGGTCTCCTGCATGCATTGCTGACTGTTTACTTCAGCAGAACTCAACTAGTGATTACTGCAAAAAGACAATACATCCTTGCCATATTTCACAGGAACTGCTGAAAGTTAGCCACTTCTTCCTTCAAGCATGCCTTGCAGTGGGCAAACAAATGTTGCAGCATTTTCTATAGTTCATCCTCAGAAACTGATTGAATAACATGCATTATGGCATAAGCATTTTCTTTGATTCATATTCAAATACCTTGCATATTCTCCTGATCAATGAGATAACACAAAAAGGGTTTCTGTAGTGATAATACTCTTGTCTTCAGGAAGTGCTGAGTTTGAATTTTGGCTGGGGCAGGCGATCCTGACTGACATTTTTCATGCTTTTTGTCAGTCCCTGCAGGCTTACACTGTGATTAAGCTGTAACTGTTTCCTTCCACATCCTTTCCAGTTCATCCTCTCAGTGAATGGTATATGGTCTAAATACCAAAAGAGTCATAAAGTAAACCAGAAGAAATATAAGATAATGAAGTTGAAGAAGAAAATGTAGCACCATCAGTAAAGTGTACAGTATGTTTTGTCTGCAGAGACATCATGATAACTCACTTACTTGCACTCAACAGACCTCTGTGTTAATTATGATAGCCTGTGAAAATTCTGCTTTATTTTGAGAACTGAATTCATACTGCCAAAGCTGTCCAGAATGAAATAACATGTATAATTGCTTCAGTTTCTGAGGAGTATTAGATTCAGAAAGTGCCACATTTTTTTTTTTTTCTCGGTGAGACATGTTTGAAAGGTGATGTGGATCACTTCCTTCAGTTCATGTAAAATATGGTAAGTCTGTATTGCCTTTTTACAGTAATCAGTAATTAATATCTGTTTAAGCAGGAAGAGCTCCTCTATGGTTCTCTCCACAGTCACACATTAAATTATCATTGCACTGTCACTAGCAGCACATTTCCATTTCATTTGAAAACAGTAGTGTTCATATATCACCTCTGTCAGTGGAGCACAAATAGAACTCACACTTGCATGGTCTTACTCATCACCACATTAATTGAAGTTTGGGTTGCATTAGTTTTTTTCTTGTTCATGTCCTTCAGTGGATTCTGTAACTTACTGGTAATTTATTCACGTTACAGCTAAGCGAGATATTGTCTTGGACTCACAATTGCCGCAAGGAATGAGCGGAGAGAAACTGAAGGAACTGGAACGTGGACCAGTGAGTCATGCTCTTCCAGAGGAAGCTCCACTTTCTCCACCCAAGTTCATCACTCAGGTTTGTGTGAGCCACACATTTTTACTTTGTAGTTTAATGTGCTGTGCACTTTGTAAGACTGAATGTCTTACAGAATCGCTTATTGCAGTGAAACATGACCAGCCGTTATGTTTCCACAGGACATTTCAGAATGTGGAATTATTTTATTCCTTTTGTTACCCTAGAGTATCCCCTGGTCCTTTAGGCTAGTCCTGTCATTTCCATAAGGTGTTTTGCTTATGTCAGAGACCTCTGACCCTGAAAGTGATATGGAAGATGTTTTGGCATTTTATATTGTAGCTAATGGATTCAGTCCTTATCCTTGATGTGGACCATCTTGATGGAGATTTTTTGTGGGTTTCCTTGGTCTGTCGGGCAGATACTAGGATACTGCCTTAAAATAGACCACAGCTACCTCCTTCCATGTCTTTACCAGTTCTCATCACACTCATCACCCACGTGGTGCCATATAACCTGTGCAGTTGAGAAAGTAGCATTAAATAAACTAAGAACATAATTTTTAAAATAAATCATTTACATTAGTTTTTCATCTGTTGAGCATATAGATTATAACTGTAGTAGAACATGTATTCTCTGTAGTGAGAACTTCATTAATGTGAGCAGAATTGCAGGCTCTGGCAATTACTTAACACTTTGCGGACCGTGCACCCTTTAAGAGGTTTTTCACTTTTAAACATGGCGGACCGTTTGCGTGTTAACAGGTTTTTAGAACACGATACGTTGCAGCACACTATACATCTCTCTGGCGCCACCTACATTGCACGCAACCGCCTGCAGATGCGAGATAAAGACTCTGGAATGTTTAGTTAGCAGTCAGTAACTTGACATCGCTGTTTACTTAACCGACTATAAAGGAAAATGCTTTGCCCTCTTCAAGCTGTGTGTATCAGCCAGTAGCTAGTGGGGAGAATGGATCAAGGACAAATTCTCCTCCAATGACCTAGCTGACCTGCCTTGTGAGACGCGTAGTAATGGATTAATTGTCATTCAGACAGCGACAGTGACGGGGGGACAACAAAGAATTGTGGCCACAGACAGTAAAAGTGACAGTAGCTCCGACAATAATGCGGGTAATAACATTGCGCATAGTAACATTGCGGGGACAACGAAAATCTAAAAAAAAATCTAAACCCTGATTCGAAATTGAAATACAAAGCATTTCTGATGAATGTGGCAAAGGCCTGGGCTACAGTCCAGATGGTGGCGGCAGAACCAGGGTCACACAAAGACTTAGTACGACCGGGCCCATCAACTCCCACCCCATGAAGGCCTCATGTGGACCCCCCAGGGCGACCCTTGAGTGATATGCGGAAAAATACCCTCATGAAAATTGTGAAGAGTGAATATTCCAAGGGGAAGAATACTTCTAGGCAATGCCGTGTTTGCACAGTTCACAAAAAAAGGAGTATGTCTACATTTGCAAGTTCTGTATAATGCCACTTCACAAAGGGGAAAGTTTCCAGAAATATCACACCCTCAAGCACTTCTAGGAGCATTGGTAAGTGTTCTCCAAAAATTTTAGTTCAAAAAATTAATTAGGAGATTTTATATTAATTTTTAAAGTGAACAGTGCACAAGTTAGGGTAGTATGTTTAAAAATGCTGGTCCCCAGGGTGATTTAAATATTTAAATCACCGGTCCACAAAGTGTTAACATTGGTTATACAGAAAACTCTTGCTAAAGTGAGAGATTTTTTCCCAACACCATCGGTATATCCACTCCCCCATACTCCTTCATGGCATAGTGCTTACTTAGTTAAGGACAGAGACAACTTTACCTTTACCATCCATCATGATGAGCAATTACGAATTACCTTTGACTTTTCCATAACTCTTTCCACTGGCTGTACATGCAGTTTTGCTCCTGAAGCAACGGTACATACCTGGCAATAAGTAGGGTGCCAGTAGCACATCCTCTCTGCTATCTAGGAGAAGAACGTCCACATTCAAGAATATATGAGTAGTTAACCTCCAGAAATGTCAGGAATTGGAGATGTTTGCATCATGTGATATCTTCTGAAATTCCTCTTCAGTCCAGTAGCTTGTTCCATTGTGTATTATGTCACATTACTAGTGAGTGGGAGTTAAGAATTCAGATTTCTTATACACATAATATAAAAGCTGTGCATATCAACCATGTTATTTAGAACCAGTCTGTAATGTAGCGTATGTATAGTGATTGCTTTCACTTTGACTTCTTTGTGTGTCACATCTGTTGAGCAACTTTAATGCAAGGCCTCATGTGTATTCCTACATATGTGTGCAGAGCAGATAATTATAGGTAGAATGTGAGTAGGACTTGTGGGTGGGCAGGACTTTGTTTGTAAAGATAGCTCCTAAGAAGTGGCTGATGGCAACTACAAAATGTTATGTAAGAGGAAATCTTTTAATTTCATCTGCCCATTGCTGAACATTACTTAAGACATGCGTTTGGAATTTTTTGGGTGTCCAGTAATTCAGCAATATGCTCTATCATCCAGTAGTTTCAGTAACATAGCTGGCATTAGAGACAAATAATCTGGTTGCCCTACTTAGTATCTCCATTGCAGAAAAATCACAGGAAAACATCCCCTGTGTTTGCAGTATTGCTTCATTTCCTTCTCTTTTGAATTCTCTACATTAACCCAAAGAAAGTTATTCACAGCCTTCTAAGTCTCATCATCATACCTTTCTTATTTAGTTCAGTATTGTGCAAAAGCATGAATGGTTAGAATGAAATAGTCTTTTGGTACTTATAGATTGAATCAGTGGGCATTGGTGAAGGAGAACCTGTCCATTTTGAATGTCGTGTAGAGCCAAAAACAGACCCCAAATTGAGGGTGGAATGGTACCGCAATGGCAAGCCCCTACCAACCGGACATCGTTTCCGTACCTTGTATGATATGGGCTTTGTGTCTCTTGACATTTTATATACATACCCAGAGGATTCTGGTGAATATGTCTGCAGGGCTGTCAATGATCTGGGAGAGGACACAACAAGAGCTACCATCTCATGTAAACGTAAGTGATTTGCATAAAGTTAACTCATTCTTGCTGTTAAACCAAGTAAAAGTGTATGACTTTAATAATATCTAACAAGAAAACAAATGTAAATATCAATGATTAAGTAAAGTAATATCACGCAGATTAATACTAAAGGGAAATTTGAAGGATGTTTTAACATTCATTTGCCACTGTTTCATTAAATTGTAAAGTGTAACAATTAAATAATGCTTCACATTACTTGAGATAATATTATTTCTGATATTCAGAGCAATCTTGTGGCAAGTGTAACTGAAGCAAAGAATTTCTTATGTTTGTTTTGAGGTCATGTATATTTGTAGTAGACCGAGCATAGAAATACTGGATATGTTTTCAGTTGCAACTTCTCAAAAACTTTCAGTCAGAAGGCTTTTGTGTTAAGTGTTATTCTCTTTAAAATTTGATGCAACTGTAAAAATTAAGCAACAAAATAAACTTGTCTTTCATTTGGGATTTTACCACTTGTTTGTTTGTTTCATCAGAGTTACCAACCATCATACTTCAGAATCAGGTACCAAAGGGAATGAAGAAGTCTGAGGCATTGATGCAGATGGAAGCAACTATCAAGAAGTACACTTCAGAAATATTTTTGACTGAGGATGATCTTTATGATATTGAGAAGAAACAGCCACCTCGGTAAGCAAAGGATCCATGATGGTTAGAGACACTATACTTGTATGTTGGGAGGTGCTTGGTTTGAGTCTTGGCTCGGATGCTAGCTATCTTGTTTTCATGGTTTTCTTCAGTCCCTTGAAGCAAATTCCATGATACTGTATAAGTAACTCCAAATTAAATTGTGGATGAGCTTAAAAGTTCAAGATTTTATTATTCTTGTGGTATGCAAGGAAAAGGGCCATCATCTGTATGAATTCATTCATTCAATTCCTTTATTTTCCATATATCCATACAGGTAACAAACCTAGGATGTGGAAATGGTCCCTTTGAAAATAGATATATCAATATACATATACAAAATTACATAATCAAAATCACTTACATTAATCAGTTAACATAAATAATAATATAAAGTAAAAAAAAATTAGTAAGACAATTTAAAAATAACTTACTATAAAACTTGAATTAATACAATTTTATTTAAATTACCTATATTAACTGAATTAAATACATTACAAATTTACACACTTATAACCAATTATGTTGATAATATTCATTCATGGAATAAAAAGAATAATGATATAAAAACCTCTTCAATGCAGATTTAAAACTTCTGATATCAGTACCCAACATTTTTATTGTTTGAGGAAGATGATGAAAAACTTTTAATACCTGATATGTCTGCACCTTTATTGTATTTTGTTAGGTTAACTGCAGGTAAGTATGAATTATTGAAGGCTCTAGTTTTGTGTTTGTGAATCTCATTGTTGAAATTAAATAAATGTTTATTATTAATTATGTATAAAAGTAATGAATATATGTACTGAGAGTAGAATGTCATTACTTCCAAATTCTTAAAAATGTCCCTACAAGACTCTCTTGGCCTAGAATTCGTTATAATTCTAATAACTTTCTTTTGCAATATAAAAATTTTGTTAACACAAGAAGAGCCACCCACAAAAATTATAACATAACTTATGATGGAATGTATATGAGCAAAATAAATTAGCTTTAACATATCTAAAGGGACAATATATTTTATATTTCTCAATGCATAACATGCAAAGGAAATTTCATTAATAACATAATCAATATGCTGTTTCCATGAAAGAGTATCATCAATAATTAATCCCAGAAATTTTTTCTCAGTCACATTTGTTAAATTTATCTGATTGTAGTTAAATTGAGTAGTGGTATTATAATAATTCATAGGTTGAAACTGGACATATTGAGTCTTATTAAAATTCAGGGTAAGCAAATTAGCATTAAACCATGTATTTATATCTGTCAGGCTTCATGTCACAATGTTATACATTTTTTATTTCAGGTTTGTAACTCAAATCCAAGATCAGACCTCATTAGTTGAGATGCAGTCAACCAAATTTGAATGTCAATTAGCACCTGTGGGAGATCCAAATATGAAAGTTGAATGGTTCTTCAATGGAAAACCTCTTCCTCACAGTGAGTAAAGGCTAAATGGATAAGATTACATTATGTTTAATTTCTTTTAAGAGAATGTGTAACACTTTTAATAACAGTATAACATCCTCGCATATTGTCACAATTTTAGAGTAACTGTAGACAGAGTTTGAATTGGTAATCGGATTTGCTGCACACTTATGCTACTCATACTACACGTCACAGATCACTGTAGGAAATGTTAGGTCTTCTCTGTCTGTTACAGTCTTCACTACCCTTTGATTGGTAGTAGCTTCCAACATCTGATATTCCTCTTCCTCTGGGTTCCTGAACTGTCCCTGGCCTCAGCTACCAGCTTCTCACAGCAGCATCTCATAATTACTGAACCCCAGTGGTTATCTGACTCACTCACCAACTCACCAACTCCTGCTTATAACACTTTGGCATGAGCCACACAGAAAACACTGTTATTGTTTATGGGTCGCTGCTTAGTAACAGCCAGTGTATAGTTACTTATTTCACGGTTGTTGCCTAACAGCAGGTCTACATGCCATAATATTATGCCCCTTTTGTTCAAATGAGGAAGTAGAATCATAAGTGTCATTGTAATGATGGGATGATATCACATAAATTTGTGCATAACAGGCCTTGATATCTAACCATGGTGTGCTTCATTAGAGGAGTTTCACTTTATCATATTTCATATTTATTTTGCAGAAAACCGATTCACACCTATTTATGACTTTGGATATGTTGCCATGAACTTCGGTTGGGTGTATCCCGAGGACAGTGGTGAATATCTTTGCCGAGCCACCAACTTGTATGGCATGGATGAAACTCGTGCCATTATTAAAACTGCTGGCAAGCCTGGTATCATCTATGAATCACAACTTCCCAAAGGCATGAAGAGTATTGAAAGAATTCGAGAGATGGAAGCTGCATGGCAAATGTAAGTAACAGGAATAGCCTCTGAAAAATTCATCATATAAATCTGAAATTTATTTTCTATCAGTGGTGTTACATTGTAAGTTATCCTCCAAATGACCATAAGTTACACTATTAGCAAGGTGTTTAACTGTATATTAGATCATTGCAAGTACAATGGACATGTTTGCTATCACTTTATTTATGCACAATATACCTCAATGCCTTCTGGGATATCTTGCTCAGTTAAACTAATTATTTTGTGTTTTTAAAAATGTAACCCAATTTCTAATTTACCAGTTTGGCTGAGTTAACGTGATAAAAATCTTACCACTTGCTAAGCTTATGAATTATTATGAACAGCCTATATACTTCTCAAACTGTTGGTTCGTAGACTTTGTATGAGTTTGTTCTGTTCATTGAATATGATAGAGGGCTGAGTAGAAATCATGCCAGTTTTAGTTAAGTGTCATTTCCATGAAAGTTATATGCTGCTAGAATGTTCAGAAACTTTTCAGGCTTTCATAGCAAACAATGAGAATAATTAAAATATGGGCATCAGATTATTTATTATTAATAGATTTTAACACAACAAAATGTATTTAGTGATTTATGAAATTTTATTATGTCTGCAGTATATTTTATGAGGAATTGCTTTGTGTCACTAATCTTAATTTGATTGCCATTTACATAAGGGTCCTGACTATCTGCCAGTGGTTGCTAACATATTCTGATTTATGTGTAGTGTTCCTGAGGAAGCTACAGAGGAATTGAAACCAAAACAAGCTCCAGCATTTGTTACAAAGCCAGAACCATTCGCTGTCACAGAAGGAGAAATGGCCCGCTTCTGCTGCCGTGTAACTGGACATCCCAAGCCTCGAGTTATGTGGATTGTGAACGGGCATACTGTGGTCAATGTAAGATATTTTGCTTGTGCAGAGTGTGTATGGAGTCCTGTGCACCTGTTGTTCACCGCAGACAGTAAGCTTGAAAATACTCGTACTTACCAAATTACAGCAGATGCTGAAATTGGCCTCTTTATAGATTCTAAAAGGTTCTGATGATGGTGTACAACACTCAGAATTATTGGGTTTTTGGACCTTTTCCATCGTCCGGTATTCTAGAAAATAGAAAACACAACGTTTTGGAAACTGAATATGTTTCTGTCCTCATGTGAGTGGGGGGAGGGGGTGAAGACACCTATTTGGTTTGGTCCCTTAGAAAGAGCTAACCTCACTGGCCCACAGGACATTTTCACAAATCTAGGAGATTTTGTTTTAAAACATGGCTGTTTTCATTTCTAACTATAGAGGTGCACAAGGACTTAACACTTACTCTGTATATGCACATTTATGGAAGCAGTGTGTGACAACTGTAATTCATTTCAGTATGGCTGGTTGTGCTTTTGAAATAGCAAAGGTTCATTATTTCAGGGTACAAGGTACAAGTTAACATATGATGGTATGTGGCATTTGGATATACCAAAGACTCGGCAGTATGATCATGGAAAAGTGGAAGTGATTGCTCGCAACTCGGCTGGAGAAGCTGTTGCTGTCACTGACCTAACAGTGAAACCTCGGCAGGATGACTATCGTAATGTTCTCAAGAATTCTCCAAGACGTAAGTCGGCCCATTGCTGGTTAAGAGATATGATCTGTAATGAAATATTATATTGCAGGGATTGTGGAAAAAAGGCATGTTTCTCTACTGATTGCTTCGAACATATTGAGAGGTGGTTGTGAGAAGCCAGCTACTGTTGGAGTTGCGAATTCTGTTTCATATTAGACCCATCTGTTAAGAGGTTCACTATGCTGAACAATGAAGAAAGCTACCCATGACCACCATTGTTAATCTTTTTGCAGCTTCCATAGACGTTTTTGGTTCCAGATCATCAGCTGTTGTTTCATAATATGTACATTTCTGTTACAATGTTTAAACATGATACATAAAAACCAAATGTATATACTCAAATCACTTTTTAAACCAACAAATTATGACATAAAATGCTATGCTAACAACACCAGATTTACCTAAACCAAAGTTTTACACTTGATTTGAAAGTGCATTCCATTAATCAGTTTCAATACATATCTTGTAGTACTAGTTGTATCTATTTTTAGGATTGCAGTCTAGTAGCTCATGTGGTACTGTGTGTGCTTATTCTATATTCTTTTAATGGAATGCACTGGCATATAATACTAACATGCACATGAGACACAGCTTGCACAATACACCCAACACTACCTTGCCCATCCCTCATCCCTTGTGACTGCTTCGCTTAATGGTGGGGCAGATTGAACTGAAACACCCATTGCTTCGGATGAGCGGTGTCCTAACTGATCAGAGTGACGACTTCTTTGTATGTCTTCATGCTTCCAAACAGGGATATATAATCAGGTATGGAGTTTTTATTTAACTTTTTTGTTGTGGTGTTTTTCTATAGATTTTCATATTTTTGTAACCTTATTTTATATTGAATTTTTATAAGCTCCACAAACCTTACTTTAGATTCCTACCATTATCATGAACCATATTTTAATTCATAATATTTCTTGCATGTTTCTTCCTTTAGAGTACTGGAACTAGAAAAAATTTGCATGTTTTTGTTTCTTCTTGATATTTTACTCTTTCCTGTTTTTCTTAAAGCAGCATGACATTAACTACATAAATTGAACCATTTTAAAATGGATAATATTTTCTATATTGATATGATATGTACTTTAAGATGCATTCCAGGATTGCTGTATAAGATGTAGTGACCTACAACAACAAGCCCCCCCTCTGTTCTGCATTGTGATGATCCACTGAATTGTGTATTACAGTCTGTTCCCATGGTAGTGGTCATGCTCCATTCATGTTTGCACCTTGTATGTGTTCATTACTGTCATCCAACCATTTGATAATCTCTGTGTATTATAAATGTCGGATTTCCATACCAGTACCAAAATGGAACTGGCATGTATATTGCAGTATTATGACTTTGTAAGTAACAATGGTATACTCTACAGGCTAAATATCAGCATATTGTATATATAAAACTATTAATCTGAATATTAAAAACCCATGAGTGTGTTTGTGTGGTGCAGCATGGTATGACTATGAACTCACACAATATCAAAAAGAACGTCAGGAGACAGAGTTGGAAAGGATATTTGAAGAACGCAATGCATCATCACAGCAAGTGGAAATTGGTGAACATCTAGGCAAGCAGAAAATCATCAAGGAGCCTGAAACAGAATGGCAGCAGACACTGAAAAAGAAGAAGGGTGAAGAATACTACTCAAAATTGAAGGAGGTAAGTACCATCCCAGAAACATTCTTTTGCTGGTTGTATTGTGATAGATTAATGAGTTGAGGTTTTTAATTTAATATTAGATCATAGGTTTTATGCAATCATAAAAACATTTGGCATTGAAGGTTGGTAATAATATTGATATCACAGTGTTAAAATTAATAGAATGTCTGTATTGTGATGAGATTTTGCAAAGTGTTTCACGTACAGTATTTACATTTAACACCTTTTTCATGGAAATGTAAACAAGTGATTCCCTAAGTGCATATGCATTTGATCATTGGCAGATGTAATCAGCATGAAACATATCTTGTCAGTTATTAAGAGTGTGTGTCACTGAACACGATCCCAGATTACTGTTTCTTAAAATGAAAAAAAAAAAATGTATCTGTTATTTGACCTTGTTTCTCAGTGAATGCTATCTTGCCAATGATACAGCAAATATACATTGAAAATGGCTTTTTTCAGCAGCAGGTATTATTTTCATTGATCTTTACTTGAACAGTATAGTTGTAACCCTTATTATTAAAGCACCCATCAATGTTGCAACAATATACAAGACATCTAGAATATGAAGAAAGCAGTCTTCTGGGATTTTGCACCGTGTATATGTGGTGCAAAATCCCAGAAGACTGCTTTCTTCATAGTCACCGCCGTGAAAGCCTCAAATCTTACATCTAGAATATGTTTCTCACTAAAATGTAACTTTAATACTTTATGATTTAAAATCATTAAAATGTCATTAGGATAGTAAAAGTATAACTTATACATTAAAAGTGATTATCAAATTACTAAAATGTCTCAAGTTTTACATATATTTTTCAGTTTACTACATGTTTCGGCCACAAATGGGCCATCATCAGGCAGTTTTTCTTTTGTTTTTGGGGAGACCACTGCACTGTTCACTTGTTCACTGTGATCCCATGCATGTCGTTTAATTTTTATCTCACAACTAGAATGCTGTCATTTTATTCTTTTGTGGCTATCGTAGTTTTTGTTGTCTCATCTTTCTCTTATATAAGGGTTACTAGTGCACGGTGTTCCTGTAACAGGATACAGGTACAGGAACATCGCACTAGTAACCCATACACAAGAGAAAGACAACACACAAAAACTACGGTAGCACAAAAGAATACAACGACGGCATTCTGGTTGTGAGATAAAACTAAACAATGACGTGCATGGAGCACTTTGTAACACGTATCTTCTGGACATAATGGTAGAACTTAAAAAATAAAAAGAAAGAAAGAAAGATTTCATTCACAGTGAAACATTTTTCTGAGAAATTTCTTATCCATGATTTACTGTATATGAACATTAGGAAGCATAAAATGAAACAACAAAGGTGCCACAAGTGCCATTCACTTACTCCTCTGGATTCACCAGCTGTCATTTTGATACCATGACATCGCCATGAAGTAGTATGTACTTCATCTAACATCCAAATTTCCAGGGTCAACTACATGTTGAGTGTTGGCTATTGCATGTGATAAAAGGGCTATATTGTTCTCATGTAAAACATAGGATCTCTCTATACACATATTTGACAGGGATTATTTAGGAATTATTTTGGCCAAATGTCTGTGCAGTATACAAATCTCTTTTGGATTAAAATCTTATTAGTGTTCAATATATAAGATCTTGAACCGATATGGTTTGTGTCCTTGTGCCTTTCCTGTTAAAACAGAATATTGGGGTATTATTCAAAGTCCTCAGAGTTCCTTATGGTAACAATAACTTATATATAAACACTGTTAAGCATGCATTTGAATAACTTTAATGTAAAAACTTCTAAGCATGTATTATGAAATATGTAGTAGTAGTTTCTGAACATGTTGATCTTATGGCTTCTGAAGGTGGTCAGCTGACCAAATCATGTAAATGCAATAAATATCTACAAAGTGAATCACATTGGATGGTTCTAAAAAAAAGGTAAAGGTAAAGTTGTCTCTGTATTTAAGTAATTAAGCACTATGCCATGAACACATATGGAGGAGTGGATATATAAATCGACATTTTTTTTGACCTCGGCACTAGTTGGAGGTGAATGATCAGCTTCACACCCCGGCCGCTTTACCCCCAAGAAAGAGCCCCCCAGTACCCATTGAATAGGAGGTTGGGTGAACCCCAGAACCGGTCTGGATGACATGGAGAAGTGAAAATTCTTAACCCTAACAGGACTCAAACTCCAACCTTTCGGTCATCCAGCCCGTAGCCAGTTGCTATACCAACTACGCTATCCTGGCTCCCCTGGATGGTGTAAACAGTTATTATTCTATAATTTAGTTTATTAGTGACTCACCAGAATGAATAGAGTTCCATTTCATTTCATTTCATTTACTCACCTTCCATAAATCATGTTGAGAATACATTCTCATGCGGATGTGGAGATCATCCTAGTTACAGTCACAACTAAGAATTACAGTTGTCATCCAATAGCATACACATTTGTAATAAAATACTGATAAACATATACAATATTAATAAATAAGTTAATTTTAGTAGTATCTTTTTTTATTGCTAGTGGGGTGGGATGAAGTCCCTTGCACTGCGGCCACTTCTGGCCTATTGTACCAGGCCCATATGATAAGTGAGGGTGATTGTGGAGCAGTTGGTGGAATGAAGATTAGCAGGGGAAACCGAAGTACTCGGAGAAAACCTACCCCTGCACCACTTTGTCCACCACAAATCCCACTTGACCAGACCCAGGATCGAACCCAGGCTGCCGCGGTTAGAAGCCAGTGACTAACCGCTGGAGCTATGGCGTGGTAATAATGGCAAACCTTTCGGGTGAGTTACCCCAAAAGGGTGAACCATAATTAAGGTTTACAAATCTGTACTTTTGTGAAAAATTTCATTACAAAGAAAGGACTAGTAATGAGTAAGGACAAATTTTTAAAATTGTTTAAATCTCTCAGGTTTGAAATCTGGTTCTTATTCATTACTTTTTTAACTTCTCTCTTATGAAATTTTGGATGCAGCCTTCATTGTAGCTTACAACAAAGTCATATGTAAACAGAAGAAACGTTGTAAGGCAGTCTGGTGGTAAGCTTTTGAATGATACTATGTTATTTGGTTTCAGTTGGAAGATGAGCAGGTGGTCAAGGAAACAAGGCTACGTGAAGCATCACATCAGTTTGCAATTCCAGGAGAGAAAGTGATTCACAAATCCCTTGCTAAAGGAATGGCTCAGAGTTATGAGGAGAAGTTGTAAGTGATTTACATAAAGTGGCAAATGTACTTTTGTAGCACAAGAGTTCTTTAAATAAAAGAAATAATTTATATATCTGATTTTAGGGATAAGCAAGAAGAAGTACTTGCATCCCCACAGCCAATTATACGTACAGCAGGCAAGGCAGTAGACTCACAGTCAGTGACTGATACTTCAGAAACATCTATCGATTCACAAAAGGTGACAGGAGTTCCACCAGAACCATCTGAGTCCGCAATCCATGGACGAGAGGTCCATGTTGCTAAGCAGAAGCAGACCCAGAAAGAAGTATGTGCTCAAAACTTCTTGTATTCTGTGTATTTGTTCAGACTTTCTTGTGCTGCAGAGAAATATGTGGTAGAGTGTAGTGTTTTGAAAAACGCTTCGTGAAATCTCTACTAAACTAAGATACTGTATTTTAGTATCAGTATAAGGAACACAGTACAGTAATATTTTATTTCTCCTTAGCTAATTGAAATTGTGAGTGAACAGAATCACTTACAGAGGTATACTGCCACTCATTTGAAAGCCAGCATTGCCCTGACACTGGGAAACATAAAATTTATTGTGATTAGATGTATGGAAATTGTGAAATTATGAAATTAGCCTTTCAGATGTAGTAGACATTATATAGGGGCTGAGAGTGATGTTTGTGGAATGATGTCATGTTAAAATATTTTCAGACATCAACTTGCAACAACCATTTCAGCTGCATTGTAGTAATTTTTTTCAAAATTGAATTAGTATACAGTAGCTCACAAGAAGTAAACAACCAGTTGCTTTCATGTGTTATATTTATTCTGTGAGTGCAGACAGCATCTGGTACAAAAAAATTTAATGGTTTTCTCTCAAAAAGTAACCTAGGTGTCTTAGTATTGATCATTTGAGTAGAACTGTGCCCGAGTGTCCTCTTATGAAACCTAAACACTGCCTTTTATTATACAATCCCAAAACTGATGAATCATTACAAAAAAGTCAAAACTGTGGAGGATTTATTGCGTTCATGTATATCTTTGTGAGGTTTGTTGCATTTCAGTTTGTTCCACTGTTGCTACATTTGTTTACCATTTTCAGGTGAAGGGAGATTTGGAAATTACCCGTAAGATCACAGCAACTGAAACTACAGAAGTAGAGCACAAAGCAAGGACCCAGGAACGAGTAGTACAGGGTCAAGTGGTAAGTTTTCTGTATAAAATACGGCATTATGTCTTAATTCTTGATTTCTCATAAATTAAAACAGTGAGCTTCAGTCAAGCTGTTGGGGAGATAATAATTGTCATTTAACATTTTTATTTATTGCTTTTAATTACATTGACTGGAAAGCTGAGATTCTGAAGTTATCTCTTTCCCATTTTACGTTACTTTCAACACAAACATCTGTTCATATAGTGGGGATATGCACACAGTCCTCTTTTATATTTCTTCATAAGAACTGCTGAAAATTATCTCGTTCAGCTAGCACACACACCGATTTTCCTGATAGCACATTTCTCCTTTTATTGGAGAATGTACACTTAATGTTGAATTGAATTGAATTGAATTTTATTTACCTTCCGTAAATCCAGTACAGGTGAGACACCATAGGATATGGAACAAGTCAAGTTAGAATACATAGTATCTATACAATAATACAGTAATATTGCAATTAAATGAGGTAAACTTATAATACTTATAATACACATTAAACAATGATCAAGAAATTTATCAAGATTTATCATGGACTAAAATAAAATAAAATTTCCATTTCAAGGGCATGGGGTTTTCAGTATGATTGAGCCCCTCCCTACTCATCAAGCCAAGTGCATAATTGGTTGAGTAACCACTCTCTCGACACATTTAAGACACTGTTTAAATTTTCTCAGGTTGACTGATTAATATTTAGGGACCAGTGAATGCTAGTTCAGTCAATCAGTCAGACCAAAATTCTGCTTTCAAGACATTTCTCCACAAAAGAAACCATACCTACTCATTCTGTTGTTATTGGTCTGTATAACATAACATAGAAGACATAAAAGAGGTCTACTGCGCCTTATATTGTATGATGTGCACAAAAGATATCTTTTGATATTGGACCTCTGTGGGAAAACTGAAAAGAGAGCAGAAATGAATATTAACAAATAAATTCAAAGATTTTGCCTCTCATTATTGCATTATATTGCATTGCATTATATATTGCACCTTGTTATGATGAATGTAATATTTGGAGCAGAAGGTTTTACTAATAATTAACATATTTCCAGAAACCAACCAAACCACCATTCTTCACCAAGAAGATCCAGCCATGCCGTGCTTTTGAGCAGTCACAAGCCCGATTTGAGGTTGAATTTGATGGTGATCCTCTACCAACAATCAAATGGTTCCGTGAAGACTTTCCAATCCAAAGTTCACCTGATCTGCAGATCCACACCTTCAGCACAAAGTCAATACTGATTGTGCGTCAAGTGTTCATGGAAGACTCAGGCGTTTTCAGTGTTGTGGCTGAAAACCGAGGAGGATCAGCCAAATGTAGTGCCAACCTGGTGGTGGAGGAACGTAGGCGACATGGTAGAGGTGGTGTAATCCCACCAAGCTTCCTCACCACAGTCCAAGACACCACTGTGGCAGTAGGACAACTTGCTAGATTTGATGCTCGTGTGACTGGCACAAAGCCACTTGATGTCTATTGGCTGAAGGTGAGGATTTCATGCATTCTTGGCATATAGGAACACTAACACATTGGCTTACTAGTTTTATACAGAGTGTCCTAGGAGGAAAGGTCATAATATCGGTCATTCTAAGCAAAAAATTGTATATGTACATATGTCCTATTCTGAACGGTTTCCAAGAGAGAGATATTTCACTGTACAGTTTAAAAATTGTTATTAAGAAAGAAATATTGTGTACTGTTTCTAATACCCGTATATATTATTCAAGTGACAAAGTTGGTACACTTTACCTAGTATAATACATTTTCAAAAATTCCACCTTCAACATTAATGCTCTTTGCAACTCATGTAAGGACATGCTGTGTTGCTTGTCTGTGCAGTGTGCAGTGTACTGTGCAGCGAAATAGCTCTATCTCAGAAACTGTTCAGAACAGGACACATGTACAAGGTGCGTCAAAAAAAATGGATGGATTTCACAGGGCAATTAAATTGGTAAGGCTTCATGAAATTCAAATTTTATTGTTACCATCAGATTCACCAATACATGCAGTTTATTTGTGGAATACAGTATCATCCATATGACGTCCTTGGCTTCTGATACAGACATCGAGGCGTTTTCTGAAGTTATTCATCACTCTCGCGATCATATCTGGTGGAATCGCCGTGATTTCTTCTCGAATCACTGTCTTCAGCTCGTCCAGTGTATGTGGTCGATGTTTATAAACTTCTGCCTTCAAATGGCCCCAAAGGAAGAAGTCGCAGGATGCAAGATCGGGTGAATGTGTGGGCCAAGGAATGTCACCATAATGCGAGATGATGTGCCACAGAAAGAGCCCACTCAAGAGATCCATTGTTAGTCGTGCAGTGTGAGCAGTGGCCCCGTCTTGTTGAAACCAAATGTCCTCAGCATCAACAGCAAGCTCGTTCAGCCTTGGCTCTAGGAATTTTGTAACATTTCAACTAACGAGCACTTGTAACAGTTACTGCATGGCTGTCCTCAAGAAAGTAAGGCCCCCAAACACCAAATTCTGCTACAGCACACCAAACAGTCACTCTTTCACTGTGAAGAGGTCTCTCGTACAGTTCTTTAGGATTGGTTCCAGCCCAATACTGGAAATTCTGTTTATTTACACAGCCAGATAGGTGGAAATGGGCTTCATCACTGGTCAGCAGAACGGCGGTAGGGGGCATGCTCGCAACTGTTAACACGATTCTCCCAGTCTCCTGCATGAAGTTCTTCCACAATTGCCATTTTGTAGGGGTGAAATTTAAGGTCTAAATGCAAAATGCATCTTACCATAGTGTCAGATAATTTCAGAGCAGCAGCATGTTTGTGAGCTGATCATTGAGGTGACTGGACAACTGACTGCCTTACTGCTACCACATTTGCAGGCATATGAGTGCTCCTTGGCTGTCCAGGTGATTTCTTCTTTAAGGTTGAACCTGTGTCACAAAATGAAGCCATCCACCGCAAAATTGTGTTCTGAGTATGGATCCTATCGCAACGTCTGAGCTCGAAATGAGTGCGGAAGGCTCATTGAGTGGCGATCACAGACTCTCTGTTTTTCAAAAACGTATCTACGATGAGTGCATGCTGTGCATCTGACAACTCCATGTTACCAACTGAAACTGCATTCTCCTGCCAACCCAATGGTCGGCGCCCCCGCTCTACACCTCTTCCATTCACGGTGTAACGGCCACTTGAAATCCATCCATTCTTTCTTACGTACACTTCTTTGCTTAGAATGACCAATACTATGACCTCCCAGAATACTGAATATTCCTCCTGGGACACCCTGGGTAGTGTAACACTTAAGAAGTTTTGCATTGTACCAGGCACTCCAAACTTCTTATTAGTCAAATCATACTGAAGGGGCAAGTTCTAGAAGCACATGACATTCATTTTAGCCATAAGTAAAACTATTCATTATAGGCCTATGTTCCAGTCTTAGAAGTTGAATTTAAAATACAACTGAAATCTTAATTACTTATTTAATGAAAGGTGAGATGTTAAATTATAGGTATATACATTGTCTTCTCATTGAAGAATTATCCATCTCTCACAGTATACTTAAATGTTTCACTTAATACTGTCTAACATACACCTCAAGTAAGTACATTTCATTACTTGGAACTACATCATATAAGGACCATTGAGTTCCACTCAGCATCACGAGTATGTGAGAGATAAGCAGCAGAAACTGGATCATCTGTAACTGTATCTTATAAATGGATGATATTTGTAATAATCAGGTCACTTTAGGAAAAAGATTTACTCTTGAAAAGACATGTTAACCCCTCATACCAGCCATGTAAGTGAATTGTGTTAACTCTAAGGGTAGGATTTAAAGTTTCACCTTTATTTCCATTCTATAATGAAAAATTATCAATTTTATTTGCAAGATTGAACCATTATGCAACAATAATAAAATGTTCCCCATTAGCTGCTTCATTAATATGTTTTGACAGCTTATAGGTAGTGCTCATATACACAATTCTTTTAACCTATTCACATAATGTATGCAATAATTCTGAATGCTAACCATTGAAAGGGCCTAAGGGGTTAATTGAATAAAATGTTACTCTTCTAATGCTAAAATGGCTCTTCTTGTATAGTAATCTTTTTCATAGGAAATGTATGAAGCTTTTTAATATACGTCAGACTTATTAGGCAGTATTCGGGGTCAAGTAGTTTAAATATCTTTCATGAGAGGAAATAGACTTGTAAATGGGTTCTTCTACACGTATATTAATTTTATTTATATTATTTAATTTTATATATTGTAACATGTTTTGCCACTGAAGATGCCATTCAGATTGTTAGTTCGTTTATTTAACAACCAACAAGTCTCGGCTACAATTAATTATCACACTGTTACGGGTTTCCACAATTTACAAACCCTACACACAAATCTCTTCACACTGTCTTCAGTAGTCTACACCTATTCACAGTACGATACAGGAGCTATACAAGTGTCACTGTATCACACACTCCCAATTATTTCTCTTGTGAGCCAAGCATCTGCTTCTCACACTATCACTTCTAATCACACGTTCCGGTATTCTCCTTTCCACTACAACTGAACTCGGCGACTGTTCCAATTCAACTCTCTCCGGCGACGGCTACATTTCAGCTGTTTTTGACGGCTGCTGATCACTCACTCACTTCTAACTGCTCACTGCTGACTAACTGACTAACTTGTAACTAACTGCTGAGTAGTGTTCGCTGCCCATTATGGACAACACAGAAAAGAGTTACGTAATAGGTACCGCTGTTTAGTACCGTCATGTTTACCGACAGCCTAGCAATGCTGTCAGGAGTTGTTTACTGCTGCATAGCAACTGCGGCATCCCTTGGTCATGTCACCATGGGGTGGGGGGGTGTTGACTGGCCTATTACCGTAGCAACGGCAATGCACCGAAGGTGTTACATCACCGCTGGCGAGGGAGGGGGTGTCCTGCATAGCGCAAATATGTCACACTGCTCCCTTCTAAAGGTTGTTTGTCTCGAACAGCCTAACAGTGCATCCCTGTTCCTTTCTCTTCCCATTGCTGTACTTGCTGTGTCTCCTGTTGTTTCGGCTACTCTTCTTGCAGCTACTATTCTTCATCCATTACAACCGCTCCCCTCTTAAGACCAGCTCGTCTCGAGCGGTTTCCTGCTAGCTTGCCAGAAGATCCAGTTGTATCACATTCATCCATTCCACATTCACTTTTCCTTGGGAGACGGGTACTTCTATGTTATCGGTTCCTCCTCAATCTGTTGTTTCTTTTTCCACTTTGGAAGGGGCTGACCCTTCCACAAGGTCCAATTCTTGATCATTACTTTCTTCGAAAGTTCCTTATGTCGACGTAACAGCACTTGAAGTGTTGTGTGCACTTGCTGAAGTCGTCGTTCCTTCTGTTCTTCCCGCCACTTGCTGGTACGAGACTGTGGTGCAACAGTGCCTACTGCTGATTTCCCTACGCTGCTACGGGCACCCCGCAGTGGTTGAGACTCATCATAAGGCTGCTTGCAGAGACGGTGTAGACAATTGTCGATGGCCAGTTCCTTTCTCCGGCATCCGAAGGTTCCCTGGGTAGTTTCCTTCTTGAAGTCATTTCTCCAACATTGTGCCACTGTTGCGCGATCGGATAACTTTCTGCAGGTGGCAGCCAACTTCATCCGGGACACATAATCTCCTCGGGTCCAAGATGTCCTGAAGATGTTCCTCCAACGCCATGCCACTGTTGCATGGCAGGACACCTTCCTGCTGGTTTTCTCCTGCCGTGCCACTTCCACACGGAGGCTCGTCCCTGTGCGTTCTATGGCCAACTTCTTCTGGGGTCCATGATTTTCCCATGTCGAATTCTTCATTTGTCGCTTGTTTCGGTCCCTACGCCTTTACTTCTTCTTCGGTTCTCCAACCGTCATTACTTTGGCGTCTTCTACAGGTACCTCTCGTTCTGCCGCCTCAGGTTTCCTGTCCACTGAGGCCGGCTTTTCTTCTTCTTGACACGCCTCCGTCATTTCTCGGCAGGCTATTGTCTTTTCCTCTATCTGCCAGGCATTCATATTGGCTTTCAACCTTTTCTCTCTCATGGCAGCCATCCTTGCTTCGATGGCTCTCGTCTCTGCTCGGATGGCTCTTGTTTCTGCGGCCATCTCTTCTTACCAGGCTTTCAAGTCGGCGTCTAACTGACTAACTTGTAACTAACTGCTGAATAGTGTTCGCTGCTCCTTATTTAGCCCCATCATGGACAACACAGAAAACAGTTACGTAATAGGTACCACTGTTTAGTACCATCGTGTTTACCGACAGCCTAGCAACGCTGTCAGGAGTTGTTTACTGCTGTATAGCAACCGCGGCATCCCTTGGTCACATCACCACGCGAGGGGGCTGGGTGTTGACTGGCCTATTACAGTAGCAACAGCAATGCACTGAAGGTGTTATGTCACCGCTGGTGGGGGAGGGGGTGCCCTGCATAGTGCAAATATGTCACAATATATTTTTTTTCATACCAAAATGGTTTTATTTTTAAAACATTTGTTCATTTTTTTCTAGACAAGTATAATAAAAACATGTTTATCCTTCCTTCAAAGCAAATAGTGTTTGTTATGCTTTCTGTCCATTTCAATCAGACATTTCTTCATCTGTATAAGTTATTGGTTTCAGTTCAATATAACATTTACCTAAAGCACTGACTTGTGTGTGAGCCCAGGTTATCTCTTTAGAAATGAAAAATTGTTTAGAATATATCATAATTCAGTAACTGATGAGTATGTATTTGTTATTTAAAATCTGGATTATAGACGAGGGATCTAGGTATGCATCTTTTGTACTGCGTTTTATGATTTTCTTAAGCGTCAGGATGTCAAGGACATGATATGCCTTGTAAACACTTATGTATTTTTTGTCACTAATTGTGGATCATCTGTTACCAAACCAAGTATATATAAATGAAGGTCCATGATGTTTGGAATCATTTCCATGATAAAATCTCAGTTATAAAAGAAAAATGTAAAAGAAGTGGACAACAGGCAACATGAGTTAAAATTAAATATTCTAGGTTCCATCCACAAGTAAAAGTAGTGTGGCCTTTAAGTTTTTTTTTATTTCTTTTAATTTTTTTTAGAAATAGATCTATAGAAGACATTCAGTTTTAGAAGCAAAAGTCTAGGTTTATATTGCTGTAGAAGAGTGCTGCATACTCTTCTAATTGTAAGCAGAATTACAACTGCATGAATATAAGGACTGGAGCAGTGATAGCCCTGTTCATGGATTATTTATTTTTAATTTATTTAAGAATACCCCAATATTATTAATACAGTAAAGATGATACGGAGAGGTTATCTGCAAACCTGCCACAAATTTTTGGCCTGTCTGGAAAGAGAGTAAAGGAAGACCTAGAGATAGGTGAGAGGTTAGTATTAAAGTGGATCTTAAAGAAATAGGATGGTATGGTATGGTATGAGCTAGATTCATCTGGCTCAGGATAGGAACCAGTGGCAGTCTCTTGTGGACACAGTGATGAAATGTCAGGTTCTGTAAATGTTGTGAAATTCTTGAGTAGCTGATTGATTGGTGGCTTCTCATGTAGAACTTGGCTCCATGGTGTTAGTTAATTTACAGGAGGGATACAGTGTTATAGGATCATTACTGGACAGAAGAGAACTGAATCAAAATGCTGAGTACTCACTATAGAGAAACTGGATGAAGTCAGTGCTAGGCATGATCATTCCCTTTGAAAAACCCTTACAAACCTTGCACAAGTGACCACTGTTTAAAGTTTCAGGCTTCATATTTGAAATTTGCTCTACTTCAAAAACAGTACATGAATCTCTTTTTGTAGAGGTGCAAGGAATGGATGCATTACAACAGGGACTATTTCCTGTACCTGCTGTAATCTGGGTAGGTGTTGGGGGTGGGATAGAGTCTATTTTGTTGCACTGTAGGTCCAGACATGTACACATAGAGTTGAACTAAGAAATCGGTCTCCTTAAGAAGAGTGGTGGAATGATTTCCAGAAGGCTCTCAAATAAGCTTTCTGTGTATAGAAATTAATATGTTCTATGTTGCAGTTCTTACCATAAAGATTAGTGTTCCATTTGAAGTGTAATATGGCTCTGTGATTCTCTCTTATAGAATGGGAAGAAGATAACATCTGACATTCGTTACAAGACCCTTGAAGAAGATAACACTTACACTTTGCTCATTATTGAGGCATTCCCAGAGGATTCTGGAAAATATGAGTGTGTTGCAATCAACAGTGCAGGTGAAGCTCGTTGTGATGCTCAGTGCTTGGTGCAACAGCCGTCATCTACACCAAGCAAGGCACAGCCTTCTAAACCAATCACACCTGGCACTGAACAGGCTCCAAGTGTTGTCGAGCCTCTCAAAGGACAAGTAATAAGGGAAGGCCAAGCAGTTGCTTTCAGGTGCAAGATTTCTGGCAGGCCAGGTGAGTAGACTAATTCATACAGTTTATTGGATTTTATTTGTTGTCATCTATCATTAGTCCAGTTCTTATATGCATTTCTTACAATGTGGATAAAATCTTTCTGCCCATCTGCACATACAGTGGAACCTCACTTAACGAGCATAACTCGTTCCAGAATCTTACTCGTAATGCAAAACACTCATTAAGCGAAACAATTTTTCCCATATAAATTAATGTAAAATACGATAATGCGTTCCATGCCGAAAAAAAATACTCAAAAAATTTTGTGTATAACTTTTATTCAAAGAAAATATATATACATTGTTAAGGAGCGTGAATCATCTTCATCTTTTCTTCTATGCGGAATGAACCAACCTGGAATGCGAATTTGATTTGCAGAAAAAAAAATCGAAATAATTAGTTTATTATTTATAATACATATCTAATTCTTTTTTACTAGAAAGCTGTCTAGAGACATTTGTTTTTGCCAACACTTCAAAATTTGGTGAAAATGCAACATAGCATTATCATTAAATAAATTTGTAGCGCACATAGCCACTGCCTTATTACGGTGATGCTTCTCAAAGTACGATGCAACAGTTTCCCATGCTTTCAGCATTTCTCTTATTGTGCCAGAAGATTGTTGCTTTGCTGTTACCTCCTCCTCCTCCTTCTTGAGGATAGTGCAAATCGTTGATGTAGACCAGTGCATGCTAGATCAGCCACGCTCACACCCTGTTCTCTCTTTTCAGTGATTTTACGTTTCATTTCTACGGTATTTTTATTCTCTTATGGCTTTCTTTTTGCGGCTTTTTCTTCGGTGACATTTTTGCAAGGGTTATTATACTTTGCACAAAAAAATCACAAATAATATGTCTGAACACAACTTTGGAAAAATGTGTGATCACAAGCAACACTAAGAGCTAGCGGAATGAGTGCTAAACACAGACTGATATAGCAAGTGCACAATCCGGGACTTCCCCTCTTGTTACTCGTTATGCGAAACGTCGCTCGTTAAACAAGTCATTTTTTTACAATTTGTTTTGCTCGTTGTGCGAATTACTTGCTATGAGAGGTGCTCGTTAAGCGAGGTTCCACTGTATATTTTATCTCCAAAATCACTCTGTGAATGAATTCAAACTGAATTGGATAATTCTTTTAGTAGAAGCTCATTGTACAAAATTGTAATACATAACACCAAGTATGGATTCAGTAAGCAATGCAGTGTTTCAGAATTACTGGGTTTTTGAACTGTATCTATCATCCTTTATTCTAAAAACTAGAGAAATTGGATCTGTTTCCATCCTCAGGTGAGGGAGGAAACATCAGCTCTGTTGTCACCCATATTCAGATTTTACAGACCAAGTAACTTGTGTATTGAGCATACATTAACTGCAGATGAACTTGATTTAGTTCTTCCATGTAAATAAATTAATGTCATTTTTATTTTATTTTGGCAACCTACACAGACATACATGCACACGCACACACACACACACACACACACATTATTTTGATATTTTATAATCCCAAAGTGAATTGTCATTTATGGGCTGTGGTGGAAATATCTTGATTTTTAATTAATAAAATTGCTGGCCTGTATATGTCCATTGTAGGCCAATACAATATCTCATGATGTAAGGGTCTCTATAAATGAGGTATATGTTATACAGTGCGTACAATCAAGTGCGCGCCGCGGCTGCAATTTGCCGTGAGTCATACCACCGCAGAACGGATGCAGNTTAGCACAGTAATTATGAAAGTCTCACCATAACTACACCACACATTAAGTCTTCTTTTCACAGCCACACTCTCTTCTTCACAGCAGGACATTCAACTCGCAACTAATTTATAGCATCATCCTCTCAGCCTCCCTTGGAGAACTCAATTGAACTGACTGGGTCTCAGGCTGGTGGCCACTTCACACCAACCTCCTAGTCTTCTCTCCACAGGCTGTCCTTCAACTGACCACTACAGAACTTGACTGCCGATGCTCAACTAACTTACAGCACCATCTTCTCAGGCTTTCTTACAGAGCTTAACTGAACTAGTTGCCCCAGTTCTCTTCTTTATAATCATTCTGCATGGACCGAGTAGAAAACATTTCCAGCAGTAACTCTATTGTTGTAGTGGCACATTCACTGATCTGTTGCCTAGAAACAGGTTGCCTAACACCATTTTTTATTCACTTATTGCATAGCAATGGCTGTACTTGCTACAATATTAAGAACTTAGATACACATGTGCATAGGACATATAAAGGATGTATACAAGAAGCTATACTATGAATATGCATTTCATGATTTCGGTTGCTTACAAGCACTGTTAAGTATTTCTGTTTCAGTTCCAGATATTAAATGGTTAAAAGGAGACAAGGTGATAAAACCATCAAAATACTTCCAAATGCAGAAAGACGGTGATGTGTATACCCTGCGTATATCTGAGGCTTTCCCAGAGGATGAAGGAGTCTATAAGTGCATTGCAGCAAACCCTGCAGGAGATGTAACCCTCTCTGCTGATTTGCGTGTGCTTGGTAAGGAACAGAATTATTTTTACCCTTATTATTATAATATGCTTACAAGGTTGTAACATTACTTTGACTACCCTATTAGCAGTGCCTATGATGTTAGTCAATACAGAAGCCAGTTGGTGTATATATGTTAATTTGTACTCACAGAGGATACAGATCTTGAGTTAACACAGAAACCTAAAATATAAAAAGAATTAACAGTGTTGAATATAATTAATATTTATTGGAAATTTGTATGAGTAAAAGCGCCATAGCCACCTCGTCCAATTCGCAAAATTATTAAGTAAGATCAGAGGAGTACAATTAACACATATTAGCTGCCAGAAATAAAGTGATTTTCTTGGAATTTTTACTTTATGGCATGGCAGAAAAACTTTTGATATGCTGGTGTTAAGAACATGTGTTTCAAGCTGTGGACACCAGAGCATATATGGACTATGAGCTGTTCATAATGTGGTAGCAACTTGATAGCCAGTAGTACTAAGGCAAATAATTGATTGGTCAGTATAAAAATTAAAGAGCACCTCAATTTTAAAATGTAAACCAATCAGAGGTCAGCTTCTGTGAACAAAGGCAGTCTGTCTTCAAAGTGTCAGAATGATTGACTTTCAAAAATCAATCTGTTACAAGTTTTTAGAAAAGATGGATGTAAGCACCTCATCTCCTTAAAGTAGTCAGGTTTAACTCTTCAGAGCAGACAGATGTGAATTCTGCCTTAAGATTTCAATTACAAATGCTGCTTTTAAGAAAATTTAAGATTGTTTATGGTGATTTGTCAGTGTGTGCCAGTAACAGGAAAGCAATAAATAGTGACTATATTCATCAAAGGAGTTGGTTAAGCACCATAGTGTTCCCTTTGCCTACCCACCCAAGCAAGACCCAGTGTACCTTGAGAAAGCTAGTGATTCAACAGAACTCCCAAGAATCAATAAGTGTTAATTGGCATCCACAAGCATGACATGGGAATGTGCAAGGGACAACAGTTTTCCCACTCCATTTCAGTATATTATGTAATCAGCAGTCATAAATTTTGTCATTTCAAAAACTCTCTCTCTGACATTGCTTCTGAATATGTAATGTAGTTTTTTAATCTTAACTATATTATTTATGACTGTGTTAGTGTTCCACACTGCTGATGCTATATATTTGTGATTTCATAGCTCCAGACACACAAGAAGTGACACCCAGTCTGAGTCCAATGAATGATGTTATTGTATCTGAGGGAAGCCCAGCCCAGTTTAGAACTCAGGTTTCTGGAAAACCACAGCCAACTATTCAGTGGCTCAGGGACGGGCTTGTAATTCCACAATCTGCTGACTTCCAGGTAAAAAATACGTCTTAATTATCTGCAGTATCTTTTAAATAATGCATTTAACAGTAAATCCTCAGTGTTTGCATGTGAAATGTCAAACGAAAGGTAGTTTCTTGAAATGGCTGAACCATCCTCCTTTCTGACTTTCTTTTCTGTACTAGCAGGATCTATATGTTTAACTTTCAGATACTTCATAAGCTCAAGTATGGTTCTCTTACAGTACAGACCAGTGCTTATAAAGTGTCAGTAATCACTTTCTATAGAAATGAAACATTTCCTGTCATTCCTTCAGGGCTTAACAAAGTAAATAATTTGTCTTCTAATAAATGCCTTTATTTAATTTTATCCTTTTCTTGAAAGCTGGTAATGAGAATTCCTTTTAATTTATTTAAAACACTGTGTCAGATGCTGAGATATTGGACAGTAGAGGTAGACAAGACACGATGGATGAGTATTGATACTGAATTATGAAAGATGCAGGACGGAGCAATTGCTGCCTGTTTGAAATACTGTCTCAGAAGGTATATGGGGAGGCATGAAACGTACAAAAGTACCTGGGTTAAGTGCATCCTGGCTGAGATTCAAACTAGAAAGTTTCCTGACACATTAATCAGGAATGTGATCATTAAGGAAGAGCGGAATGTCTGTTAAAGAAGTTCTCTATATAATTATAAGTCATATGCATCATTAAGGTTACATTCTTAGTCAAGTTTAAGGAAGAAAATTAAGCTTGCGTGATTACCATGCTGTCTGTATGAACTGCCTTTCACTTTTTAACCAGTTGACCAATTTTCATTAAATTTGACATGAACATTATATTATTGGATGCAACACTAATCTTGTGCCTTTTAATTTCATAGTGTTATCAGTACTACATGAACTGAGTTGGCAGTGACCCTAGCAGCCTATACGAGGGGGTACCCAAAAGAAACTGAACTTATTTTTTTTTAAACTTATTTATTCAAATTTTAAACACAAACCTTCAATCCCCTTCAAAGTACTCTCCACTTACACTAATACACTTGTCTAGTCTTTTATTCCATTTTTCAAATCATTGTCTAAATTCATCTTTTGAGATGCTTGACAGCGCCTCTGTCGTTTTTTCTTCTCCTCAGCAACATCAGCAAAACGCTTTCCTTTCATGTCTCTTTTCATTCGAGGAAACAAAAAAAAAAGTCGCACGGGGCAAGGTCGGGTGAGTCTGGAGGGTGAGGAACAGGGGTCATACCATTTTTGGTCAAGAATTGTTGTACAGACAGGGCTGTGTGAGCAGGGGCATTGTCATGATGGAAAAACCAGTCACCCGACTGCCACAAATCTGGCTGCTTCCGCCGCAAACTGTTGCGCAACCTTTTCAAAACTTCCAAGTAGCAAGCCTGGTTAACTATCTGACCCTGCGGAACAAACTCTGAATGGATGACTCCTCTCACATCGAAAAAACAAATCAGCATTGTTTTCATGTTTGATTTCACCTGACGAGCTTTCTTGGGGCAAGGCGAACTTGAAGTCTTCCACTGGCTTGATTGTTGCTTTGATTCAGGGTCGTAAGCATAGCACCAGGGTTCGTCACCGGTGATAATTTTTGAAAAAAGTTTTGATCATTTCGGGACTCTTCTTTCAAAGCACAGCATGCTTCCACGTGACCTTGTTTTTGTTCAGCAGTCAGCAGTCATGGCACGAATTTCGCAGCCACCCTTTTCATTCCCAAATCTTCTGTTAAATTCGCTGAACTGAGTTCCAAGTCACTCCCGACAGCTCCACAATTTCTTCAGTGGTCCGTCGTCAATCTTCCTTGATGATTTCACGAATTTTTTCAACATTTTCATGTGTTCGGGCCGTGGAAGGACGACCAGAACGAGGTTTGTCATCAATTGACATTTCACCATTTTTGAAACGGAAAACCACTCAAACACTTGAGTTTTCCCCATAGCATTGTCCTTGTATGCCGTTTTTAACATTTCAAGAGTTTCTGTTCCACTTTTCCTGAGCAAAAAGCAGAATTTCACCGCCACACGGTGTTCACGAAAATCAGCCATTGCAAAAACGACGATCACACAAAGCAGTTGTCACTATAAACTCTGCCGAAACTAGTACTTACCTTCTGAAGCAACGGTAGTCGGATTATCGACTCAGAAATGTTAGCTCTATGCGCTCATAGCAGCAAAACGTGGGACTACAAAAGCTCTGCCCACAAAAAAATTAGTTCGGTTTCTTTTGGGTACCCCATTGTATTAAAGTGAATGAAACTATGTATGCCAGCACATGTTTCAAACATACACACCTGCTGTTACTCTCATGTCCTTGACAAAGTCGTTATTTTTAGATGTGCCAAGAAAAGAAATATTTTAAACATTTTTCAAAGATATTTCTCAGTTTATGGTGTTGCCATAGTCATTCTGTTTGTAGTGTCCACAGCTAAGAACTAATGACAGGATGTACTGTTATGTACTCTCCCATTTCTGGCACTAATTTATTTGTTATTTTATTTTTATTTTTATTTGTTGTTATTTTATTTCTTTTAAAAGTTATTTAATGATGCTATCAGTATGAAGATTATAGCATTGATGATAGAATGATTAACAAGTGTGGAGCATTTTGTGGAATGAGACTTGATAGGGAATCTGAAGTACTTTGAGAAATCCTGCCCCAGTACCACTTCATCCATCACAAATCCCACATGATCTCACCTGGGATTGAACCCTGGCCATTCTACTTTTGAACTTTATATGAAAGTATACATTGCCTGTAAAATGTGAAATATTTGCTAATGTTACAAATTATGGATTTACAACCAGAGTAAAGCACAATAGACCAATGAAGCTCACAGTTCTAGGGCCAGTTTTATGGCTTGCCCCTCATACTCATACAACCAGAGTACAGTATTTTATGTCCAAGCATCTGGAGTTCTCAGCAACCAGCAACACTTCAATATGTATAATATGTTGCACATACCATGGTACTTATATTATACATATAGAAGTGTAGAGTGCAACAGGATGCTTAAATACAATATGATCATCATGATCATCATCATCATCATCATCACTGGCATGACAGCCCTTTGTGAGCCCTGGCCTTCCTCAGGATTGCTCGCCATTCTTCGCCATTTCATGCTACATTTAAATATACGTGGTGCAATCCAAAAGTTCCCGAAATATATTAATAAAAACTATTACATCTTACCTAGATCTTATTCTGCACCATCACCTTCAAAGTAGCCCCCTTGGGGGCGCATACACCGCTCCCAGCGTTTCTGCCACTTTTCAAATGTATCCTGGAAGTCTTTCTTTGTTAGGCTGTTTAGTACCGTCTGCGTTTCCGCTTGAATTTCCTCAACTATATCAAATATTCGCCCCTTCAACTTGATTTTCATCTTGGGGAAGAGAAAGAAGTCACATGGAGCTAAGTCTGGAGAGTACGGTGGGTGGGGAACAACTGCCATCTTGTTTTTAGCCAAAAATTCCTGCACAATGTAAGCCGTATGCGGTCATGCGTTGTCATGGTGGCATACCCAGTCATTCGTGCGCCACTTCCCTGGACGTTTTCTCCTCATGTTCTCCCTCAAACGCCTTAAAACATTGCGATAGAACTTTTTATTGACTGTCTGACCAGGAAGGACGAACTCCTTATGAACAATCCTGTCAATATAAAAAAAAAACAGATCAACATGTACTTAATGTTGCTCTTGACTTGTCAAGCTTTTTTTGGCCGAGGTGAAGAAGGGCTCTTCCATTGCGACGATTGCTGCTTGCTTTCAGGGTCGTAGCCATAAACCCAACTTTCGTCACCAGTGACAACCTTCGAAAGAAAGTTTGGATCCTCTTGAAGCTGTTGCTGAAGTTCCCTGCAGACTTCCAAGCGATGCTGCTTCTGTTCATTTTGCAGCAGTCGTGGCACAAACTTTGCCGCAATCCTCATGTTCAGTTCCTCTGACAAAATTCGTTGACATGTACCATAACTTAGTCCCAAGGTGTTACAGAGGTCTTGGATGGTCAGTCTACGATCTTGCAGAATCAGATCTCTAACTTATGCGACATTTTCTGGTGTTTTGCCCGTTGACGGCTGTCCCGAACGATCGTCATCATCAGTCAATGTTCGGCCATTTTTGAAACGCTTATACCAGTCGTAAGTTTGTGTCTGGCCTAAACTGTTTTCACAAAAAGCTTGCTTCAACATTTGGTGCGTTTCTGCAGCGGTTTTCACAAGTTTGAAACAAAACTTTATGCAGACACGCTGCTCTCTCAGGTCAGCCATCACAAAACTGCAAACTCACAGAAACACAACAATAGAAATACGTTCACCAACAATAAACCCAACCACTCAACTTGACGCCGCTTGCCACACTGATTCAAGAAGGATGTGTGAGGAGACATGTAGCGGTATTTCGATGTACTCATAAACATTCGCGTGCAAAATTCAATTTTCGGAAACTTTTGGATTGCCCCACGTAATATAGTAACCAGCAACAGTTTCAAAGAAAATTTACAATTATAAATTTATTTCAAAAACAAGGTTACAGTGCCCATATATTCTCCTGCCACAGGGTAGTTCTCCATACCCCCACTAGCAGCATTGTCCATGGTGCTCTGTCATGGTAGTAGCATTAAAATTACAATGGTCTGTCATTACAGTAGAGGCCATTTGACTCTGATTGTGTTGCAGTATATCCATGCAAGCACCAAATTGAAAGAAAAACAACAGTGTTTTTACTTTGAAATATAAAATGGAAATATGCAAAACACTGGAAAATGATGAAAATTGCATGAAACTTGGATTTTTTTTATCTCATACAACCTGCAGAGTGATATAACCAGCATGCCCCATTCTGCTTATATGGAGTTTTACTGTAATTGTATGAGAAACTGTGACACAGTGAAGCACTTTCTGTGTACTATGCAGAATATTGTCAGGGTGACTAAATTTTTAAGGATCAGATAAGTGTTCTATACAACACACATGGGGGAAAAAGAAACATTTATAACATTTCACTGGGAAAACCTGAAAAGAAGAGA